AGGTGGTGATGCATAAAATACACTAATAATTACCAATAACTAAGAAATTATTGGCTATTATATTGGCTATTATAAAAGGCACTGAAAGAAAACCCAGGTCATGTATTTATGAGGATTTACTTCAGGGTTATGTTGTTTAGTCTTGTAAAGTTTGCCAATAGACCCTGGCTGATGTTGTCCAGGTATTCTACTTTTCTTATTATATGAGCTCATTTTTTTTCATTATACAACCTTATCAATATTGATTGCCATAGTCTACAGCTATATGTTTCTGTAGAGACCAATGTCAGTGATGTTGTGAATAGATGGATGACAACAGTTTTTTTCTTTTTTTTAACTTAACAAAGACAAAATGGAAAATCTTTTAATTGGCTCAAAAACCAAGTTTATTTATAAGTGAGCAACAACAGGTGACACAGTAAGATTTCAGGTCAAGGTCATGGCATTGTTTGACATTCTGATTTGAGCTTTAAACCCTGCATTAACTCAAGGCAGCTTTCCTTCATCTTAGAAATATCGCCAAAATATGACTCTCCTGGCTCGCCACGACTCAGAATTTTTTTTCATTTTTAGTAGACTGGATTACTGCAATTCTCATTTTGTTGGACTTCCTAAAAAGATTATCAGTAGACTGCAGCTTATCCAATACTCTGCTGCAAGGTTATTAAGTAAAACGAGAGAATAACAGAGCACATCGCTCCAGTTTTAGCAGAGCTACATTAGCTTCCAGTATCTTGCAGAACTGCTTTAAAAATACTCTTACTTAAATGGCATTGGACCATCTGGACCATCTTATATTTCTGAAAGTCTGTCACTTCATATCCTGGCTCGCACTCAAACATCCTCTGCTGCCAAACTCTTAGGTATACAGTATTCCTCACAGAAAGAAATTGGGGATGCAGCTTTTGGTGTTTATGCCCCCAAAATCTGGAACAGACTATCTCAATATACCGAGGAAGCAAACTGTGCCAATAATGTCAAGAAACTCTCAACAACACACATTTAAATCTGGCATTTAGCTAGTGTTTACATTTAATAAAAATACCACTTCACTGCTTTACCTTTAAGTGAGTTCAGCAGCCGTATTTAGTATTCTGGTTCAGAACGTGCAGTTTCTCTACAGTCCCGTCTGCTTCTGTTCCTTCAATGTTTATTTTCTTTTTCTATATTTTTTATGTAGAATTTCGTCTTATTCATTTAGTATCCACGTGTGGGATGTATGTGGATGCATATATGAACATATTTCTAATGGGGTGTTTGACTTTTTCAGCTCTTTTTGATGCTTTTTTTTCTTTGCTTTTTTACGTCTTCAGATATTGATGCTCCAACAAATCTCGTCACTACCGAAGTAACAGAGGACACTGCAACAGTCTCCTGGGATCAAGCCCAGGCTGGAATAGAGGGATACATGCTGAGTTACACTTCTGCTGAGGGATCCAGTTCAGACATCTCTGTAGCACGTGATAGTACCTCATACAGGCTGATAGGCTTGAGGCCTGGAGTTCTCCATAATGTCTATATCTGGGCCTATAAGGGAGACAAAGTCAGCGGAAAGAGTTCAACAGAAGCTGAAACAAGTAAGTGCTGAAAGGGGAAACATTACAGTAGAGACTGATTTGATTATTTGGCTGTCCGTCATTGAAGACTCCCACAGAGGAATCATATTTTGGAGGTCAGCTAGGAATATCTACAAAGGTAAGGCAGAAAAAAGAAACTCTTATCCCCTCTTTTTTTTTTAACAATGGTGCTGAAAGTGTAAACAAATGCTTTTATCTTTTGTCTCTTTTTTACTGATTGCACAATAGCCTTTGATTGTCTGAAAAGTGATCAAAAGCGCAACTGTTCTTTGCTGCCTTTGAACTTGGAGCAGTCTGTGAACTAAAGTAAAGGTTGATTTTAGGGTCTCTTTTTCTTAAGCTCCTTTATGTACGACCTTAAAAAACATACAGATAACTGGTCAATTACTACCTCTTGATCTTGTGCGTGCTAGGTTGACAATGTGTGAAAAGCATTAATATAGACATTCCACACTTAGCACACCAGCCCCTCTTATCCATCTGCCAAGAGTGGAACTTGAACTCTGTGTGAAAAACGCTGTTTAACATAATTAGGTGGTACACCTCATTTAAAAGCAGCCCAGTTTAGCCTCGGGTTGAATGTTCATAAGAAGTTTGAGCAGAAGCATTTTGCTTGGTCAACAGAGCAAGACACTTCTCATGTCTCTTAATCTGGCTGTTGTGCAGATTAGCAGCTGTTGCTGTCTGCTGGTATTGATGTTTTTGGAAGAAAGTCAGCAGAACAAGAAGTATGAGTGCTTTAAAAAATATCTTTACGCATCAGGATCACAATGACT